GAATACGATTTGGATTTGGGGACTTAGGCTCAGTTGTGTTTTAATACTTAATGATCAATATTTTAATGTGTTTTTATAATCTTCTTGGTTTACTTATTGTTAAGTGTTTATACTGTGATTGTTTGTTTGTTTGTTTGTTTGTCAACATAAATAAATAAATAAATAAATAAATAAAATACTCTTTAAATTCTTGGGACTGAAAAGCAAGTATTGACTCTTTCATTTCCTGGCATGAACATGGAAGTCATGATAACAGGACATCGGGATGGGATCTATAGTGTCACAACTTTGGGAATGCTTACTTTATTTTATAGCTCACAAAAACTGTTTTTGACCAAACACAGCAAAATGTTCTATACAGTATTGCCATTATGTCCCTAGATTTTACTCCATGTGGAAATTCAACTCCTTTCCAACAACTACTAATTTAATAATGCAGCATGATATGACAACATTGAGGGCTATATGCTTCTTTCATTCATTAGTTTATATATGTAAGATACAACATTTAGACCATTCCTTACTTCAGATGAATTTAAAACACAGGTTTTTCTTGAGCCTTTAAAGTTCTACATCTAACTGAATATCCAGGAGCAGAAAAATATTTTTCAAAGTATGTAAGTTTATTAACTTACACTGTTATTCTAATACAGTGTTTTTCACTATTCAATTGAGTTATAATTCTTTTAAAAAATAATTATGCAGCTAAATAGACCATTAATTTCCAAAATTATGTTCAACGTACCCAAGAAATTATAGTTCAGTTGTGTTTATTGTTTGACTATTAATGACCAATTTGCATGTTAAGATCAATAACTTTTATTTAGGCTTTCAGAAGGTACAAATTACCTGCAATTCCTTATATAAATCAGTATTTTTTAAACTTCTTTTTGCTGTTTTGTCAGAAAAAAAACTTTATTTAAAACAATTCAAGCAACTACTAGACACCCTTTTTATTTTGTGTGATCCACAAAATCCTATGCTATAATATAGTCGCCACAAGATTTGTTGTGTTGTCAACGTACTCTTTCCATAGCTTAGACTTAACAAGGGTTAGACTGAAAATCCTTAAGTTTTCATAAACTTCCCAACTCTCAGCTGCTCACCTAACTGAACTTATATCTGTTCTTTATGGCCTTTCAGTGACACCAGTAAAAGAATTCTAAGGCCATATGTCTAGAAACTGCACTGTAACAATTTAATAACTCAAATTATATATCTATTGATATATAGAAGTTATCAGAAGTTATCATGCTTTGGATAATTTGTAACCATTTCAAGTTCTGGAAAGGCAACATTCCATTCTTGTTATTTTCATATTTCTATCACCTCCCAGAAAGCAAATGAATATGAAAGCAAATATGAGTAGCTCATGTCATGACTGCTGCTTCTCAAAGTGAGAAAAACATGTGACAGGCAATCTTGAAACAGGTTTCTCCTGATAAGTCCCAGCAACTCAACAATATGCAGTTTACAGGGCAGCAGAACTAGAGACTGAGGTAGTGCAACGACTGAAATACTTTACAGTGGGAAGCAAGAGAGTCATGTTTGCCTCTAAGCAACTGGTGTCTTGAATACCTGTGATAAACACATATTTTTGGAATGTAGAGGCTTAATTTAGGAGCAAAATAATTTCTTACATGAATCACTAGCCACAAGCACAAGACAGTTAGCTCCCACTTACCATAGCCAATCTATAGGCCACAGCTTTATTTCATCATTTTGGTCAAGAATTCTCCATATGTCTTATGGGAACTGCTTTCCCATTTCTCTTACATTCCCATTTCTCTACATAGCCAACTACACCTACAGGCCTATGTCCAATGCAATCCCTTCCTCGCAAGTCCACAGTCTCAATCCAATGGCTCATTTTTTTTGTCTTTCCAATATCATCTATGAACCAAACACTTCAGCAAAAGGCCACTAAACATCTGTTGCTAAGCATAATTTCTTTTCCTTTTTGAAAGGATTACTACATACATCCCAGCACTGTTCTTAGAGATATTATTTGATTACCCTTGCATTGGGAATGAAGTTCCTATTTCCCTTTAAACTGTGATTCCTGTTTGGTACTCTAGCTCTTTTTGAGAATATTGTACAGAATGGGCACAAGGACATCACCCAAATTAGCAACTAAAAGAAGTTATAGCTACAGGTATTCTGCAGTAAATGATGAGCAGTAATAAACTTTAGTATGTTGTAGCAACAATACATGTGAACTTCATTAAGCAGAGTGTGGTGATCCTGGCTGGAATAGAACCAGAGAGAATGACAGAAAGCTTTTCAAAACTTAAAATGTATGCCAGGAGCTAAGTGCAAGAAAAGGACAAGCGAAAGATATTAAGGAAATACCGTAACAAATCTCAGCCAAGAACACGAAACAGCAGTTTATGAAAAATGTGCAGTAATGAAAAAAAATTGGTTTCTCGACACTAAACAGTTGTATGCCAAAGGGGGGGGGGGGGGCGTAAAATATGCAAGAAAAAAGGCAATACATGGCTCACATATTGTTACTGGCACATCTCAAGAGTACCAGGTTGTTAAAAGCACTGGTCACTGTGGCTCAGGATATAGTCTAATACTTGTCACAGAAGATGTGCAACCAAAAAAATGTAAGATATTAAGTGGATGCTTATATCCCTTTCTGGTCTAAAGGTATGGCTCTACATTTAGAAAAGTGGAGAGATACTGTCCAACTATGGAATGCAGAAACTAGGAGGAACAGTAAAGCAAGACTTGCAACTCCACTGGAAATGTATAGTTTCAGAGCCAGTTTTAAATTGCCTGGAAATACCACCAAATAACAACGAGGGGAAGCATGGCAACTGAGAAACCTAAACAGGATAGAGGTAAAAGGAGGTGCAGGAGCTCATTTGTTTCTTGTGCACCCATGATTTTGAGAACTAGTACATCAGTCTGATCTGGTTTAGGAAAGGGATTGAAGACACGTGAATGATGCTTGCTAAGAAGATAAAGTACCTGCACAGGAAACCCACCAAAATCTGTTCCTCTTGCTTGTAGTGAAATTGAAAAACGTACAGGGGCAACAAACATCCTTAGGTAGCACTTTAGCAGTTAGAAATTGAACAGTAGCTGTTTTCCTGCACCTTATCTTCCTATTAGAAAAAGACCTATGATTTCCCACACATGCTGTATCTGGTTTCTCCCTCTCCCCCCAAATCTTGCTGAAAATTACGATCTTCTTCAAGTCTCCTCTAGTAATGTGTTTATCTATACTTCTGTTGCTTACTTATTGTATGTATGTTCTGATATGCAGCTTTCTTTCTTTGCTCTATGTTTTTCCCGAGAAGTTGTGGGAGGGGCTACAGACCACACGATCCATGTTGAGACAAGCAAAGACTTCTTTAGACTTTGGGGCTGCTCAGATTACAGACATGCAAACACTTACCTGCTCTTTATTTTAAGAGAGATGTTATGACCGGATAGTACAGAAGCTATCTCAAACATATCTGTAACTGATTGATAAGTTGTGTACTTGTGTATGCTGAACACATGAAGGTTATGAGTAAACCAAATGTTATTTTTATCAAAGTCTACCTTATTTTATCTCTTGAATGCATAATATAAAACAATTCGTTTTATGGGAGAGTAGATATATTTTGGAGCCCCTGGTGGCATAGCAGGTTAAACCCCTGAGCTGTTGAACTTGCTGACCAGAAGGTTGGCAGTTTGAATCCAGGGAGCAAGGTGAGCTCCTGCTGTTAGGCCCAGTTTATGCCAATCTAGCAGTTCAAAAACATGCAAATGTGAGTAGTTCAACAGGTACCACTTCTGTGGGAAGGTAATGGTGATCCATGCAGTCATGCCGGCCACATGGCCTTGGAGGTGTCTACAGACAATGCTGGCTCTTTGGCTTAGAAATGGAGATGAGCACCATCCCCCCAGAGTTGGACACGACTAGACTTAATGTCAAGGGGAAACTTTTACCTTTACTTTAGATATATTTTTGGGCACTGGAAAACACTTCTGAAGAACTGCTATATTTATGCACTGGCACATTCTGTTTTCTTAGCAGATCAGAGACAACAAGCTATTCTGTTTAATAATTGAAGTCAATTGCCTTGCACATTACATTTGGTTGTATACCACTTGAGAAGATTCTACTCAAATGGGTTTTTGACTCTTCTCTAAAAGATTATAAATGCCATTTTCTAAAAGATTATAATCACTAAAAGGTTGTGCTTTTCTTTTAAAAAAATCCTAACAGTACTCCTGCTTGTCCTCCATTAATGCGGAGGGATGGTCCAATGTAAATCTTTCCAAACATTTTATGTTGGTGACACACTTTTTAGACATGCATTCTTTTTTGCCACAGTAATTCACTTTTACTAGCAAAACACTGGTTAAACTAATCGCTTATAAGAGACACTGTATGGGGACATACATACATCAGCTCTAATAATGAACCGTATGGGGATAACATGTCTCTCATGGTTTATTGTTTAGGTCGCATAGACTCTGAGGTTTCTCATGATGTTTATGCAACACTCCTACACAATGCAGCTGACACACGGTTTGGAATGATGCACAAACTCAAGTTCAGGTATGGGAAAACTGTGGTCCTCCAGGTGTTTTGGACTTCAACTCCCACAATGGGTGTTGAAGTCCAAAACACCTGGAGAGCCAATGTTTGGCCATGCTTGCTCTAGTTCAAAGATGCACTAACTCTAGTCCTCCAGGTGTTTTGGACCTCCAACTCCCAACAGGCTCAGCAGCTTTGACCATTTGACCTCTTTGGTAGAGGCTGCCATGCCCATCCGAGGATCTCCTAAGAAACTGAGGAGAGGAAAAGGGGAAGCTGCTGTTTGTTTGGGCGCGCGCTCCCCCTCCCCCGTCTCGAGCCAGCTGCTGGCGACGTCACACACGCAAAACACCTTGGCGCGCGAGCAGGGGAATCTCGCGCAACGCCTCCCCCCCCACTCCCAATTCGCTACCAAATCCTTGCTGAGGAAAGGAAGGCAAGGCCTGGCGCCACTCACCGAAGTCGAGGAACTGTTTGATGGAGAGCGGCGACGGGGAAAAGCGAGAGTAGTACTCGATCTGTTTGGGGATGGGGCTCTTGAGGAGCGCCCCACATAGCCGCATGGTGTGGGCCTTCGGGAAAGGAAAGGAGTGCGCGCGCGCGCGCAACAGCCTCTGGTCTGGGCGAACCGGCCGAGCAACAGCCTGGCAGGGGCGCGTGCGGAGGCTCACGCGCACAACCCCCGCGGGAGGGGGGAGGGAAGGAAGAGGAGGAGAGGCGCGCAACGGTCACAACGGCCCGCGGCGCCGAAGGGCACCACTACCACCAGGCGCAGCTGCTAGGGCCTCCGCGCAGCGCCCGTCGCTCCCATATTGAGTGGCCGGGGCGGGCAGGTGGCACTCCCCGCCCCCGTTTCGGCCCGTCTCCGCCGGCTCCTCAAGAAGCGCCCGCCTTCAAGGGCGCAGGCCGCCTCCTGACTGGGCGGCTGGGCTCAGCCCGCATCCCCAAGGCCGAGCCGCCTTCTGCCCTTTCCTTTCCTCAAGCGCCGCCTCGCGATTGCCATGGCACCCTCCGCGGCGCGCAGGCGCAGACGGGCCTCTGCTTCGGGGCCCTGGGCCTACATACGGCTGGAAGAAAGGAAGGGCGCTGTGTGGCTCCTCGTAACCCAAAGGATTCCTGTTTCGCTTTCTCTCTCACTGCATGGGAGGCCCCAGGCCTTCTGCCTGCTTCTGCTTTCTGTCCTGTCTTGGAAGCAACATATCTTGGCAAAGACCCCAACTACACTGCGTATAACGAGGTTTGAAACAGTATTATATGGTCAGTATAGGCTCCTGTAAAAATAGTTAGGAAAAGAGACACCAGGAAATAAAGCCCGACTGCTCATTGGAGGGAAGAATATTAGAGGCAAAGATGAAGTATTTTGGACACATAGTGAGAAGGCAGAAAAGCTTGGAGAAGACAATTATGCTGGGGGGAAATGGAAGGAAAAAGGAAGAGGGGCTGACCAAGAGCCAAATGGATGGATGGCATCCTTGAAGTGACTGGCTTGACCTTGAAGGAGCTGGGAGTGGTGACGGCCGACAAGGAGCTCTGGTGTGAGCTGGTCCACGAGGTCACGAAGAGTCGGAAACAACTGCAGCAATAACAACAGGCTCCTATAATGCAGTTCAATCATCATTATTATTATGTGTATTTATACCCACCTGAGTACACTGGCCATATAACGCAGTTTCAAACTGTGTTACATGGCAGTGTAGATGAGGTCTAAGTGACCCTGAGCTATCTTTAAAGCAGCACTACTTAATGTTTTGGGTAATAGGATGCACCACAGGAAAAAAGGGCCCCCAGTGGCGCAGTAGGTTAAACCACTGAGCTGTTGAACTTGCTGACTGAAAGGTTGGCGGTTCAGATCCGGGGAGCAGGGTAAGCTCCTGCTGTTAGGCCCAGCTTCTGTCAACCTAGCAGTTTGAAAACATGCAAATGTGAGTACATCAATAGGTACCACTCTGGCAGTAAGGTAGCGGCACTCCATGCTATCATGCCAGCCACATGACCTTGGAAGTGTCTACAGATAATGCTGGCTCTTTGGCTTAGAAATGGAGATGAGCATCACCCTCCAAAATCAGACACAGTTATACTATCAGTGGAAACCTTTACTTTTACTACAGGAAAAAAATGCACACAATCCTATATGGTATCAGTTCACAGGTTCTGTATCCAGCCATCCATAGCTTAAAAATGTTCACCTAAAAAAATTTCAGAAAAGCAGGCAATGAAGCGGCAGCCAGATTACTAACAGGAATGGGGTACAGGGAGCATACTACTCCTCTGCTGCATCAGCTCCACTGGCTGCCAATTAGCTTCCGAGCTCAATTCAAAGTGCTGGTGTTGACCTATAAATCCCTAAACTACTCTGGCCCAGTTTACCTGTCCGAACAGATTCTCCCCTATGAACCATCAAGGTTATTAAGATCTTCTGGAGGGGCCCTGCTCTCGGTCCCACCACCTTCGCAATCGCGTTTGGGGACGAGGGACAGGGCCTTCTCGGTGGTGGCCCCTCGGCTCTGGAACTCTCTCCCATTGGAGATTAGATCTGCCTCTTCCCTCCTGACTTTCAGAAAGCTGGTAAAAACCTGGCTTTGGAATACAGCATTTGCAGAATGATGATTGAGTCAATAACGGCTGACCACACCGGCGGATGGTGATGAATTTGTGATTTTATTCTGACGACCTGGCTTTTGTAATTGTATGATATTGTATGATCTGTATTTTAATGTATTTTGTATTAATGTATTATGATGCTATTATGTTTACTATATTTGTGTTGAATTTTCTGCTGTTAGCCGGCCTGAGTCCCTCTTCGGAGGTCGAGAAGACCGGGTTATAAAAGCTCTAAATAAATAAATAAATTTTATATGAGGAACACCATTTTACTACACCATTATATATATATATAGAGAGAGAGAGAGAGAGATTGAATATATATATATATATCAAAGGACTTTAGCATCCTCAGGGGCCTGGGATCAAACCCCAGGCCAGCAAATTCCAAAAGACCACTGTATACACAAAACTTACCATTTCATTTATGGTATTAGAAATTAATACCCTCCATGAACAAAAGGATTACAACAAACTTGAAAATGCCACATTTTTATTTTGAATCCACTGTGACTGAATGTGAAAGGATATAGGAGGAAACTGCAGAAAATATATTTTTGCTTCAAGGTTGTTGGGTCTCATGAAGTCCATCCATAGAAAGCAGATTATAGACACCTGCCTAAGGAAAGAAAGGATGATGAAAGGACATGGCAGTTAGGGGCTTCTGGGAAGAGTTGTTCAAAAGTGTTATTATTTTTTTCAATCTCAGTATCAATCTATCCCTAAAGAGGAAATAGCTGCCGTAGAAATGCATTCCGTTGCATTTATTGGCATAACAATAGCAAAGGTGACACAACTAGAGCTGAACTATTGCATGCACATGAAATCAAGCTACACCTACTTATCGCACAATGTTAGCTTTTAATGACTAAACCAGAAGAGGAAGGATGGAAGACTGCATCTTTAATAATACAATTGCCTATGTGTTCCCTCTTTAAACATTTTAACAGTATCTCCTAAAAAGTAAACAACACTGTAGTACCCTACACATATGTATTTGACACAATGATAATTTGAGCCTATGACAGCACACATTTATTGTGCATCTTCAAGTCATTTCTGACTTGAATCTGCTACAAAACAGGAGCTTTCTTGTTGAGTTCCAGAGTCAGAGAAGCAGATGACGAAAACAGAAGGATGGCCTGCCTCAGGGGAGCGTGCTTGCAGTGTTTAACGTTTACACAAATTATCAGCTGCTGTCAGAAGGGACAGAGATTTTCATCTATGCTGATGATCGTGCCATCACAGCTCAAGCAGGGAGCTTTGAAATGGTTGAACAGAAACTCTCTGAAGCTTTAGGAACACTCACTTCCTATTACAGGGAAAACCAGCTGATTCCTAATCCATCTAAAATGCAGACGTGTGCTTTTCATCTTAAGAATAGACAAGCATCTCGAGCTGTGAGGATTACCAGGGAGGGAATCCTACTTGAGCATTGGCACACACCAAAATACCTGGGAGTTACTCAGGACCCTGTTCTGACTTATAAGAAGCACTGCTTTAATATCGAGCAACAAGTGTGTGCTAGAAATAATATCATACAAAAGCTGACTGGCACAACCTGGGGATCACAACCAGACACAGCAAAGGCATCTGCCCTTGTGGTTTGCTACTCTGCTGCTAAATACATATGCCCAATGTGGAATACATCTCACCACATTGAAACAGTGGATGTGACTCTTCATGAGACATGCCACTTTATCACAGGATGTCTACGCCCTACACCACTGGAGAAATTATACTGTTTTGCCATTATTGCACCACCTGACATCCATTGGGAAGTAGCAGCCTGTAATGAAAAGACCAAGGCGTTGACATCTCCAGGCCCATCTTCAATTCAGATATCAGCCAGCAAGCCAATTCCTTCAATCAAGAAATAGCTTCCTAATATCTACAGAGATACTCGCAGGAACACCTCAGCAAACAAGAGTCCAAAAAGTAGCAGGTTAAAATCTGGAACCTTAATCAGTGACTGATACTGGATGAGAAACAACCCCCTGAGCACACAGAAGACTAGGTGACTTGGAAGGCGCTGAACAGACTGCACTTTGACACCACAAGATGCAGAGCTAACCTTAAGAAATGGGGCTGCAAAGGAGTCCATGAGATGTGAGTGTGGAGAAGAGCAAACCACAGACCTCTTACTACAATGCAGTCTGAGCTCTTCCACATGCACAATGGAGGACCTTCTTACAGCGACACTAGAGGCACTTGAGGTGGCCAGCTGCTGGTAAAAGGAAATTTAGTATAATGTCAAGTTTTTAACTTTGTGGTTTTTCTATACATTATAACTGTATTCTCAATTCACTTCTGACACAAATACATATTTCCAACTTATGACAACCCTAAGGTCATGGTATTTTCTTGGCAAGATTTGTTCACAGGATGGTTATCTTTGCCTTCCTGTGGGGCTGGAAAAGTGACTTAAGTCACTCATTCCAACTCACTGGGAGGTTTAGGATACATAAAATCTGCAAAACAAGTGGGAGTGATAAAGACTCAGCTTCACAGGAAACATAGAAATCAACATACATAGGTCACACTGCATGCATTTTAAGCATATTCAGTCATTAGGAATCCTACTCTATTTCCATTAATGTGCTTTTCAATTCATAGTAAATTATTTTTTTCCTGCTTTAAATACTACCAAACCTGTTCCCAATAAAATCAAGGAAGACGGATTTGCTGAGATGTTGATCCAAGCTGCTCCGTGGCTAGACTGAGTCACACTGATGGTGACATGATCATGATTGCTTGTGTCACTCTGACAAAGTTTTCTCCCTGCATCTTCTTTTTAGCTTGATTTCTTTTACTGAGAAGTTCAGTACAGCTGTGATAGTTTCATGCATCTGTCCCTGATTAAGTCCCAGTAAATCTGACATGGGAGAAAAGAAGCTAAAATCTCCACAACTGTGCATATATGTGTGTGTGTTCTTTGAGCATAAATAATATTAGATTTCCTTTTTTTGTGTGTATCAACAGAGACCAGAGATAGAGAGTTGTTAGGTTTTGTACCATAAGCCCATAGTCAACATGTCAAGAACACTTTGCTTTGTAATTATGATGATGATGATGATGATGATTATTTATACTCCACTTTATC